ATACTCTGGTTCCTGGTGTAATACATCTTCATACACGGGTATAATATTCTTTACTTGGATTAGGATTAACTATCCCAAATCTTAACCTTTCCTTTGGATGTAGATTGCTAGTGTTCACCCACAAATTTGTCCATGAGATAGTGTGGGAAATTGGAACGCCAATTAATGTAAGGTCCTGATCTGCTCCTGATTTAGGCAACTGTGCACACACCCAACAGTCACTACAATTAACAACTTTAGTAACAGTCTGCATCAATTTCAGGTATAAGTATTGGTCCCAGGCTGGTACACCAGTTATCATATAAGTCCAAATTATGACTGATGCAATTTCATATGTAAGGGTCCTGAAGGTTCGATCCATCATGTCTTCTCTGGTTCTGGTGCTTTCTTTATTCTTTTTTCAACATTTGGTTTCGAATTCGTTCATTGAGAAGGTCAACATAGAAGTGTTTTCCTATATCCTTTATTATATTCTTTAAACCATTTCTTCAAATCGAGAGCTTCTTGTTGGTTACAGTTTTGTGGGTTTCTGGAGCTTCAGACTGAAAGCAGCATAATCAATATAGAAAATAAGGAAGAAAACTTTATTCATTTACAGGGCTGTTAAAAAACTTGTTAATGAGAAAAGGGAAAATGTAAGTACAGGCCATACAAAAAATACATCATTACTTTTTTATTTTTCAAAACCGAGCAAACTACTTCATCTCTAATTTATGTTGTGTTCAGTGGGAATATTTCCAATTATTCTTCCTGACAACATATGGCTACTGTATCAGTTGGTGAAACAGACACATGAAGTACAGCCTCTGATACATTTTTTTTAGCTGCTACAAAGTGCTAACTTTCGGGGTTTTTTAGATAATGAGAAGGAAAAAAGTTAACGAGTATTGTCCTTAAGTACACAGACCCTTGTCTATGGATCTCCACTGAATATCTTATCTGGGAAAGGGGATGATGTTTTTGCCCTGCTTTGCCTTACATTCTAAATTCCCACTGAAACTGCAGTGTCATGTTTACAGGATGTTCTCGCAGTTGAATAGGTGAAGCAGATTAACTGCTCAATACGAAATGGGATTTATTTTATCCATCAGTGAAGATAAAGCTGCAGTTAACACGTGCCCCTCCCTTCTAGCCTGAAGAAGCAGCACTGAAATGCTGCACCTACAGCCAATCACATCATGGCCACCCCAAGCCCTCTTACTGAGTTTGTGTAACATTTTTATACCATTTTGCTATCACTCAGTAAATTTGCTGGTAAGGAAACTTTCTACTGGCACTTCTTACTTGCAGTTCCTGTCTGGTCGCTTTCAATTCATCTGTCATAAAACTACTTTTGTTTCTGAGAATACTTCCCCATTCTTTGTTCTCAGACTTTTTCTAACCTGAAAATCTACATCTTGTAAACTTGTAACAGCCTCAAAGCAGATTCTCATCACTATTGTTACTGTGCTCCCATTAGAATAATTTTTGCCATTCTCAATCTCTCCCCCCTCGTCCCACCTCGTCCCCCCCAATACATATTTGGAAAGGGGGGGGGGGAGAGTATCAACCAATGATCTTTTTCCTGTCTCCTCACCTAAAACTTCCCTACAGTAGACAGACATTAGTCCATTAAGAGCTGCAGTCTTCAGAAATAAAGTGTGATACTAACTCGAGTAACTTGATGCAATGTAATTAATTGACCATAAAGTTACAGGCTGTCAGGGTTACTGACAAAATCTTTTTGTCTTTCTGCTCAGAACAAAAGTTTAATATTCAAAGCCGCCAGCAACAGGAGGAGAAATATGTAACTGTGTGTCAGATTCAGAATTCAAGAGACTACCCTGAGAAACTTCTCCCTTCATACAGCAGCATTCTAAGTACTTGTCCTGATAAGCCTGGGTGTCTCTGGGACAAAAGCTTTTTGAGGCACTTGTTACATGCTTATAGCTGCAAGGGCTGTAAAATCACAAAAAGGAAACCTTCTCTTTCAAGAGAGCAGAACCTGCCTTTACTAAATCAAAGCAGATTCCTATTCAGTATGTAACAGTGCATCAACAGACAGGAAATTAATTTCCCAAATCGAAACTATTTTCTAGTGGCCAAAGAGAAGACTGAAGATGGGATTGCATATATTCCCATAGTTTTTTCAATATAGAAAGGACAGGATTGACTAGGCAAGTGGTGTGATACAAACATAACAGAAATATGGCACATAATGTGCACAGGTACATATGTACCACATATATTGTCATGTGTCCAAATTCTGGTCCCTATTACCTTTCCTATCCTGGGATAAAATCTGGGACAATTCAATCTCTGCCTTTCAGTGCCTGTTTTCAGCTGGCCATTGCTGGGATCACCTGGCTGGTTTGCCTGCGAAGATGCACGAAGCCAGATAGAGCTAGTTTTGTAACCAGAGGGAGGTTTGATGATGCAGAGATAAGATTTCTTGCTTTCAATCTCAATGCTTTAGGCACAACATACAGAATTTCTTTGGATGCAAATTCTTAAACTTTTGGTGCTCTCTCATGTCCAGTGGGCCAGGTCACCGTATTTACTCTTTCATAATATTAAACATAAGTATTGACCAACATCTGCAGCTATACGCCCCTTTTTCTGAGTACATGTGTCCAGATTCCTAGCCTGTTATTACTCAGTCTTTAGAATGCAGCAATTCAAACCTCCTGAGTAACATAACCATGAGAAACTGAGAAAGTTTGTGGTATGCACTCATCTCTGTTTAGAAATTCTAATAGCAACCAAAAAGCTTCTGGAGACAAGACGTTTAACCAACTGGTGAGAAGAGCAGGGACATGTTACTCTGAGGGTAAATCAGATTGTGGAATGTTCTAAACGGCAATTTACATTCCAGGGTCAGGGAGCACTCCTACCCCATCATTATGCAGTTCAGCCCTAGCTACTGAGACCACATAATCCACGTGGGCCTTTTGCAGCAATTCATGTTCACCAAATGCAGACAATACTTGCAATGACTTACTTCAGAAATCTGGTATCAGTCCTCACACAGTCATGAGGAAGTACCTTTGTCCCAGCAAGGGGAAGGCAGAATGTAAAGATACCATGGATTCAGGGCTGAGTTTGCTGCATAAACTTGCTGTGTGTATCACTGCTGACTTTGTTTTATTCAGAGAACCCACCAGCAACAACAAAAAGGCTGTTTTGTCAACAAGACATGTTTAAAGTTATCTTTAGTATTGTACTGTGCAGAAACGTCTGCAAATTTGTCTTTTACACATGACCATGGTAACAGTCTCTCATGGTGGTGGTGACTTTCTGACCCTTTGGCCTGGCTACAGACTCTTGTGACATTATTTGAGACTTTCAATGAGATCTGTTTTAAGAAAACCCAGCAAAAGCAGTGCAGATTCCCAGGATGATCACATTAATACTGTTTTAATTCAGTATTAAACTGTTTTAATTCAGCTGCCAGATCATACCAGCATGGCCTGTGCTGGCAAATTACTATTTATCTCTCATTTATATTAATGTACTTACATGTATTGCATTGCAGTTATACACTGATTTGCAAGATTTCAGTTTTTAAATAACTTTTAATTTAGCAGGTAAATACATTTTCTAACACTTTAAAAAATAAAACTTTTTTTTTTGCACACTTTAAATAGAAATTGAAGCAAGTTGAACTGTTTTCCCACTTTCACCTATTTCTATTCAACATATAATTGGATATATTTATTCAGCACCTTTAGAACTATTAAAAAGAGGAAAAAAGTACCAGGGTGAGTGTGAACAAAGAGGCAGGAGCAGATCTTTGGATTCTGAGGTGCTGGCTCCAGTTTTCTTCCTTAAAACCAGTCAGCAGACACAGTTTAACTGGACTGTGGTGCCTAACTCTGGAGACATCAGTGTTTTCAAAGCAAGTTTCAGTTGAGGGTGCAATTGAAAAGATATTTTTCCTTTGATAAAGAAACATTGTCTCTGCAGATCTGTTCCTGACATAACTATACCACAGTTCTAAGAAAGATGAAAAAAGGGAAGGGGCGGGTGGGCTGGGGGAAGCAGGGGGGGAGAGAAGACAAGTTTGGTAATATTCATTTAAGTGTTTTGCTGTATTGTGTCTTCAAAATACCTGCATAACTCTGGCGGTTAGGCCTGGCTAGTAATAGAAACCAAAACTGACAGTTTTTTTATTCAAGTGTCCAATAACCGTGAAAACGGTTACACAATGGAGTATTTCAAAGATGGGAGGTTTCCAGTCCAAACTCTGCAGATTTTTACAATGCTGAGATTGAGCCCACAGCAGTTTCCCGGAACCGGGGCCTGTCCTGCTTCTCATCGAGATATTGCTGCTCTTACCAGGGGCCAAGATCAGAGCCTCTCCAGCCCCTCCGAACTCTGCGACCGGTGTCAGCCGTGCTCCTGTCCTCCCCTAGACGGGAGGCTGAGGCGCTACGGACGTGACCGTGCGGGCTTTGGACACTGGCCCACTAATGCCTTCCACCTGCCCCGGTGTTGGGGGAGTATCCCCCTCGGAGTAACGAGCCCGGGGTGAGGGGCCGCCACCGGCTGGAAACCTTGGCTCCCGTACGAGGAAGCTGGCGGTGACATGAATGGGACCGGGATCCCACCCCGGGGGCTGTCGCCAGGCACAGCAGCACGGGGAGGACGCAGGGAGGCAGACAAAAGCGAGCTGTCCCTTCGGGGCGGCTAGATGGGCTCCGAAGCGCAGCCGGCGGGCTGGGAAGGGCGCAGCGGGCCACCGGGCTGCGCTTCCAGTCAGGGCCGGCACCGCCCGTCTCTGGACGAGGGGCACCTGGAGCGCCCGGCTGCGGGACTTCTACAGTCAGCGGCCCGGGGAGCCTTGCACAGACCTCACCGGGGCCGCCCCAGCGCGGCGGAGCGGACACCGCTGCGGGGCGGGGCGGGACGGGACGGGACGGGACGGGGCGGGGCGGCCAGCTCCTCCCCGCTGCCACAGGGGTGGAGCCGGGCGGTGCCGTGGGGGCAGTGCCGGCATTTCCCGCAGGATCGGCGCTGCCCTTAGCAGTGCTTGTCTGGCAGCGGTAGGGGAGGGAGGGGTCGCCCGCCCGCCAGGAGATGACAGACGCCCTGTCTCCCCGCGGCTGCCAGCCGGCCGAGCCGGCGGAGGATGGCTACTTTCGGAAGGTAGGATGCGCGGCGATCTGCGTGCCGGGACGGGCGCTCCGGGCTCGGAGGTCCCGTGTCCATCTATCGCTACTGCTTTTTGTTGATGGAGAGTCGTGAGCCCCGTCTCGTGGAGGCAGAACGTGGGCGCCTGTGCTTTGGCTGACCGCTCTGCGGCGCTTGGGGTAGGGAACCGGGTGAACAGGACTGTCTGCGGGGTTCCGGCCGGCCGCCGCGGCGCGATCCTCCGGTGCTGGGCTTCCCTCTGTGGGACAGGAGCACTCGTACCTCCACAAAATGGGTGAAATTCTCCTTGGCAGCTTCTCTTTTCTTTCGCTGTTCTCTTCCCTGTTCGCTTCTCGCTGTGTCTCCTTGCTCGCTCTCTAGTAAATTGCCTTGTGTACCTGTAAGAACGTTTGGTGGAGTAAGGCAATGAAATTAACAGACTCGTTAGGAAGTTTTTAATGAACATCTGTCCTAATTACTTTTCAGACTTAGTGGGCGGCTCATGCCATAACCTGCACCTGAGCTCTTTCAGCCCAGGGTAATTACAATGAAGTGTCTCTTGTCCGGTAGCCTCTGGGCTGCTGTGAACTTCAGCGGGGGTGAAGGACAACGAGTGCCGCTTTCGGGAGTTTGGAGTCAGCCCTCCCTCGCTGCGTCGGCTGGGTCGTCCCTTGCAGCTCTTCACCTGCAACTCTTGTTGATGGCCTTCAAATAGGGGTGTGGGTACCCGCGGGGATGTATATTGTGGGTCTAAGACAATAGACTGCTTACCCTATGGAGGGAAAAAAAACAAACCAAACAACACCACAAAGCCCCAAAACTCATACATTAGGTTGTTGCTGCTTAAAGCAAAGATACCCATCCCTGCAGTGTACTTCAGCCATGACCTGGATTATGCAATAGGGAAGCCCAGACACTTTTCTCTGTGGCCTTCCTTACAGGCTGTTTGGATTTTGGACCCCAGTATTTACCAAATTCATCAGCTTCCAGGAGCTTAAGGAACGATACTGCTCTTTAGCAGAGGAACTTTTCACAGCTGAAAAGAGCCAAGTTTTACCTGTGCCAGCCAAGCTGCAAGGCCTTGGTACTGGTGTGTAACTAGAGGCTGAAGCAAAACTTTCTCCAAATCTTGTCTGGTTTCTTCATTTGAGTATAATATTTGTTGAGTAATCCCTGATTTCTTAGTAGTCCACAGCAGGAAATCATAAAGTGTGGCAAAGTTGTAATTATTTAGAGTTTTCACAGCTCTGGTTTCTATAGTACAGGATGCTCATAGGCTGCCTGGAGGTGTGTTAGTAAAAAAGTTGACTTCATGCACTTGTCAAGTTCATTAAGTCAGATAAATCAACTCTTCCGCCTGTTTGTTTTTACTGATGGGGACTAACTGAAGTTTCATCATGAAGTTGTGGTTCCCAAGTCATAAAAGTAGATCTTCTGCAGTCAGACTTGCTGAGGGACTGAGACTGTTTTCAATTAGATTGCCGTATGTGAAGGTTAAGCCCACTGGAAACAGCATCAATGTAAGTCCCCCATCCTGGTCAGGAATTAAGTGTTTCTCATATATGAAAATACTGTAAGATCAATTTTATACCTCATCATAAACAGTAATTTCCATTTACCCCACTTTTGAATTACTTATGTCTTAAAGGAGTAGAAAATAGGAATCTGATTAAATCTGGGTGAGGTAGTGTTGCAGTGGAACGTTCTTGCATCTGTTCACTAAAATCTTTGAATGGTTTATCCAGCTTATAAGTGTCTTTAATAAAGTTGTGCACCTCACATCAGGCTAGATGCTTAAAGCTTTCTGTCCCAAAAGTTAGATGTAAGCAGGAAACCAGTATTCCTTGTTATACATTAGCTGGATGGTCTCAAAGATCAGAGCTTTCTTTCTGACTCAGTAGTTCTAGGAGAAGGGGGAGGAAAGGCAACCAAAACCTAAAGCATTCCCACTCCAGGAATCTTGAGTGGATACAAGCTGTGAAGCCAAGGAGATACTTTGAACATGGTACTTTAGGCCTTAAATGTTCACTGGAATGACATGCTAGGCAGTTTCATGTAACTGAAAGCAGTGATTGAGCTGTCTGTATGCATCCATGGGTCTCCCCCTTCTCAGAGTCCCTTTGTATCCCTTTCCCTTTTTCAAATCTCACTACTTCTTGCTTTCCTGAAAGGATTTCAGGGTTGGTCTACCAGTTTTGCTGGTGCAAAATCACATCAATTTCCAAAGCTAGTTGTCATGCTTTTAGATCAAAAGACATTTACTTAATGACCTTTTTTTTATGTAAGCTGTGGAGCAAGGTGAAAACAGTTGCTTTGATCAGTCCTGAACACCAATGGGCTTCCAACCACTATATGCACAATGAGGTTGACCTCCATAATTTTTAAGAATATTGTCCACAGTGACATTTTATAATTGAGAAAAGTTGAGCAGTTCATACAGTAGCCATTTGGTTTAGGCTCTTGGTGTTTTCTTTGGAGGAATGAATTACTGTGTGAAGTATGCTCACAGTTTGTGCAGTGCCCTTTTGGGTGCTTTTTGGAGTCTTAAATACAGCATGCCAGAAAGCAACCCTCAGTATCCCCAAGATGCAATCTGTAAACTAATTCATTTACTTAATTCTTGTTTAGCACCCTTTATCTCCTGTGGAGAGAAGGCCCTGTAAAACTATGACTGACTTTCTGTAAAGGGCCATGACCAGAAATGGGGAAACACATGCCCAGTCCCATTTCTTGCTTTGACTTCTGTTGCCACACTAGAAAGTCAGGCTTGCTCTGACTCTGCTGGGTGAGTCTGGGGTGTGATGGGTGGCAGCTACTGTGTGCAGTGCCCACTTGCACCATTCCTCAGACTCCCTCTCTCCATTACCTTCCAACAAGGATAGAGCTGCTTTGTAGAGAACTTTTCCTCTTTCCCTTACCCCATCTCTGTCCATTATCTCTCTTTTTTCCCTATGGTAAAGGCCTGTCTAACTTAAATAGGTAAAATTAAAATGAAATTATAGAGGTAAATTTATATAGGTAAAACTAGATTTTCCTTAAAAACTTGTAAGATGCTTTGAGCTGGCTCAGATTATTTATATATTTTTCTTAAGACCTAGTTTTCAGGAATATACCTGTGCAGCCACACAGGGTATACGCAACTCTGACAGTGTTGCCCCTATTCCTTTCCCTTTACATTTCCCCTCCAAACCAATTTGGTTAGCTGCAACCGAGCTTGTGAGGATTTTAGTTTTAAAAACAAAACAAACAGCAACAACAAAGTTCTTGCTGGTGTCCTGAAGAGGATATGGCAAAGTGGAAGCAGCACCTTAATTTCCATCAAAAAGAAGATGGAACTTCTGTCTATTAACCTTTTGCTTTCTGGGAAGATAACATAGCAGGGAACTGGTTCTGCTACTGTTCTGTTTATCTCAGCCATCACATGTGTGTAATTCAGTATATGCTGTGGTACACTGCCAGGGCAAACTGTACCCATACTCCTGAGTGGTGCAAGTGCTCTTGGACATCAGCCTCTTGCCTTGACCTCCTCTGTGCAGAGTTCCACATTCTTTCTCTGTTACTGGCAGCAACTAGTGAATCAACCATGCATATCCTGCATATTCATCCAAATTCTGCCCCACTCTTTCTTCCCTATGAAAGAGTTTGTGGTCAGCAGAAAAGAATAACAAAACTAATGATAAGAGCAACTTGTTTCAAAAGTAGCGTGAGGTATTTAAACAGGAAGGATTTTTCAAAAGACCAACAGCAATTAAAGCAGGTCTGTCCTTGTGTGCCACTTGGCTTATGCGTGATGGTTCTCCCACCCTTGGGGTAGTTATTCTTTGAGCCTGTCATGGTTCTGTGGATTGCTTGGCCTCTCAGACATCTTACTAGTTTGTTTTTTTTTAGTTGCTTTTGAGTTTGCGTGGGAGAAACAGATCTCTCAAGTTATTTTTCCTTTTGTTTTCCTTTATTTCTTTTCTCTTTTCATTACAGCACTCACACACAATCACGCACAGAGTAGGTTTTCACAAAGTAAATATCCCCAAAACACATCAGTATACAGAACTTGGGATATTTATAAAATAGTACTCATCTAGTCACAGGATCCTAAGCTTGTGTGGTGATCTTTTAGTAGAACTATGCCTGCGCTGTAGTTTTGGGTTTGAAGGAGCACATACAGATGACTGAGTGGGTAGGAGTGGACCAAGGAAGATACATCTAGCAAGTTCTTTCTACTGTATCTTTCCTATCTTGGTTTACTTCTTTGTAACACCTTACGCATACTGTAACTCTATAAATGCTCTCATCAGTCAGGAAGTTGCAGTAAATGATAAGAAAAAGCCATAGTTCACTGCTCAAAGTTGCCCTTCCTGTAGCTCTGCAAGCATCTGCTGGTGCAGCACTAAGCATCTTGTCTTCAGTTTGGTTGTTCTGCCCACTGTGCTATGTAGAAGGAGAGGAAGCTCTCCTCCTGAGAGCTAGCTTCAGGAATCTTCAGATTCTGCTCAGTTTAATGAAAATGCTGATTTTAGTTTTCTGTTAAAGCTCTGGTTCCAGTGAAGAGGCTAGATACTTATCGTATAGACCAAGCTGATGATTCAGAAAGAAATACTGTATATATTAGTCCGCCCTGCCAAGGCAAAAGGCTAAAAACAGAACACAAGTAGTTTCATATATGAAGCACCAGGCTGAAAATGATGATAGGTATGGTAACCAATGTGTGAATCAGCACTCCCCTAATTGACTCTCTCCTTCCCCTCCTTAGCTTTTGGGGTTTCATCTGCAGGACTTCCCCCCCCAACTGTGGTTGGTGTGTCAGTTTAGTAACCTGCTGCACCTGTGCTTCCACCATGGTTCAGCTCATGCGGTTCTTCTCGGTCATTAGTAGCCAGGCAACCGTCAGCATTAGCATAGACACAGGAATATTTATTTGCCTATTTGTTCTCTCTCCCCTTGTCTGGCAGGACAGAAACAATGCAGTGATGATTCATCCCCCCCCATGCCATATCCACTCATCATGTACAAATTCATAA